GGCGGAGGGCGCGCAAATGCTTCCACCTCCTGAGCAACAAGCCGGCGTGCGGAGGTTACAGGGAAGCGCTGCGCCCCAAGTATCCGCAGCAGCAGCAGCAGCAGCAGCAGCAGCAGCAGCAGCAGCACCGCTTGCCACACCGCACCCGCTGACGTTAGCTCAAGGCAGCAGCCCGCCAGCTCCCTGCTGCCTGTCAGCCCGTCACCCGCAGCTCAGCAGCGGTTGACAGCGCTACCCTCCGCTCGGCCGCCGGGCCACCTGCCCCGCGGACACCGCCGCGCGTGCCACCCTCACACCTCAAAGACACCGCGTCGGCAGGCGTGCTGCAATCAAGTCCGCGCCGCGGGCTGTCTTGCGTGTGATTAGCCGTGCTTCCTGCTTTGACTGGCTGGGCTTTACACGCACGCACACACACACACACACACACACACACACACACACACACACACACTCACACGCACGCACGCACGCACACACACACGGCGTTTCCAGCAGCAGCATCCCTTGAAGAGGGGCAAACCCATGACACACTAAGTGACACAGGCAAGGCCGGGTCCGGACTCAAGAAGGCGGTGCGCTCCCCTCCCGCTTCAAGGCAAGCATGCAGACCGGGGCGACGTACAGTAAAGGCTAATCACGCCATTGTGCACTGAGACGGGCACCACTCAAAAAGAAAACACGCCAACGGGGCATTGCACAGGCCCTATGAAGGGGCGTGCTAGGCCCACACAGTCGGTCATAACCTGCTGGGCTTCGCTGCCCATTTGCCCCTGGCCCCACGACCACCCTGGGCATGGTTGCCGCTTGTCTCTTGTCGTTGTGTGGCTGCCTCTAGACGTGCAGGTCACTGCACAGGCCCGTGGCAGCCCCACGTGGCGCTCACTCGGCGTTGTGCAATCTGATCAGCGGCGTAGCCCTATGGGAGCCTACTTGGCTAGATCAGTACTGTAAGCGAGCATGGGCGCGTGCAGGCCTACCTGGTCGCCCGATACAGAAGCAAGAGCTTTAGTCATGGTGGCATGGTAGGTGTGACACAAATTAGCCAGTGTCGGTCACATCCCACAATGGCAACATCTGACAACAAATCTACTCAATTACCATTACCGTGATGAGGCCGTTGGCAGGGTCGAGTGGCAGGATCACGCATGTCGTGGAAGGAAAGATCCTCTGCAACACATGCGCGTAATGAGTGCTGGAGCCAGCAAGCAACGACCACCTTGCTGGACGCGAACTTCCCCAGCCCCAAGCGAATAAGCTTTGCCCGTGGGCTCTGGTTCCTCGCATTCCGTATTACAGATAGATAGATCAATTACTTATGCCATAGCATCACTGCCATCGGCCCCGCGCTCATCAGAGCGGACCCCCTCATTCCTAACCTTCCAACGGATCTGCCAGCAAGCATACACATAAGGGGCAACAATATCAGCAAGCACAGAGCCACCAAGAAAATCAAAATCAAGCAACTTGTAGGCCTTCTCCTCATTCTGCATCTGCTGCAACATGTGCCAACATTCAGGCGCCATCTCATCTTCCAGTCGCCGCCACAGCTCTCCACGCACTGATTCGTACTTGGTGCAATCCAGTAGAAAATGAGACACTGATTCAATTCCAGTTGAGCAAACAGGGCAGCAATAGTGTGAAGTATCAGAGGGGTCATTCCGCCGGCTACGGCTGAACTTCCCTGTGTGCGAGGCAAGGGGGAGAGAGCCAATGCGCAGTTGGAGGACAAGCTCCTTACCGCGGTCGCATGCTCCGGCGCCTGTTAGGTAGGCCTTTGCATGGTCAAATGCCACAGGTCCATCACCAAAACGAGACATGTATGCATCCAAGGCAGGCTTCTGAGCACGCTCCTTGG